AGGAAGGGTGAGATTTTAGCTCTGAGCTCTGACCTCTCGGCTTTCTCTTTTACATTGTTTCTGTGTTTCTTATTTAATAAGACGGTTGGTTACATCTACACTTATGTTTCTATTGTGTGGAACAATTTGAACAGTATTTGAATTAGTTCTTCTTTAAAAATCTGGTAGAATTCTGCACTGAAACCATCTGGTCCTGGGCTTTTTTTTTTTTTTTGGTTGGGAGACTTTTGATGACTGTTTCTATTTCCTTAGGGGTTATTGGACTATTTAGTTTATCTGGTCTTGATTTAACTTTGGTGTGTGGTATCTATCTAGAAAATTGTCTATTTCTTCCAGATTTTCCAATTTTGTGGAGTACAGGTTTTTGAAGTATGACCTAATGATTCTCTGTATTTCCTCATTGTCTGTTGTTATGTCCCCCTTTTCATTTCTGATTTTGTTAATTTGGATGTTCTCTCTCTGCCTTTTGGTTAATTTGGCTAGGGGCCTGTCTATCTTGTTGATTTTTTCAAAGAACCAACTCTTTGTTTCATTGATTTTTTTGTATTGTTCTCTTGGTTTCTGTTTCATTGATTTCAGCTCTCAATTTCATTATTTCCTGGTGTCTGTTTCTCCTGGGTGAGTTTGTTTCTTTTTTGTTCTAGAGCTTTAAGTTCTGCTGTTAAGTCATTGGTATGAGATTTCTCCGTCTTCTTTATGTATGCATTTAGAGCTATGAATTTTCCTCTTAGCACTGCTTTCATGGTGTTCCATATGTTTGGGTATGTTGTAGTTGTAAGAAAATGTGGTACATATACACAATGGAGTACTACTCAGCAGAGAAAAACAATGACAACGTGAAATTTGCAGGCAAATGGATGGAACTAGAAAATATCATCCTGAGTGAGGTAACCCAGACCCAGAAAAACAAACATGGTATGTACTCACTCATAAGTGGATTCTAGATATAAAGCAAAGAACAATCAGACTGCAACCCACAGAACCAGGGAGGCTATATATCAGGGGGGACCCTAGGATTACTGTGGC